GCAGGAAAGGCGCCCTCCTGCAAAGAAGTGTTAACAATTCCCTGGAGCCAGGCTCGTGTACCCTCCCGGGCTGCCAGTACCAGCCAGGAGGGGCACGGATCCAACAAACATGTGGTTGCGTTCATGTATGCACTGCAACCAGATAAATGCTATAAACATTTTCCTATGACCCAAAAAGAAGATTCCTTTTATACAAGTTTATAGTTATGTAAGAAAATCTGTTCATAACGTGATTCTGATGCAGACTTGGACGAAGTCCCCACTACTCTGGAATATTTTTATTTTATTGACTGCTTATCTTTAAATAGAATATCCTCTGAAAAGTGATTCTCCATTGAAATGATAACGATTTCAAACATAACTTTGAAAGCCACCCTCTCACTTTCAACGTTCTCTTTGTATGCTTGCCATTTTGATCAGGAAAAATACTTTATATTTCCTGGTTCAACAGAAACTGTAAATAAGCCAGCCTTTGTAATGTTTGTAAGATGCTATGCTTCCCATGTAATTAGAAGTACTTATCAAATAGGAAGCCATGCAAATCGCATTGTCCTTTGTGTGCTCATAACATCCATACATACCCATCATGCTGTTCTCTTCTGAGGTGAGCAATGTTATGCAAATTGCAGAAATGGAGTAAGAAACACTGAACTAAAAAGTTAAAAGTGTGAATAAAGAAAAATAAAATAAAATACAACTAAAGTTATTTACATTAACACCATTCCCTACACCTCTCCATAGCTATCCTTGCAAACTATCCTTGCTTGCAAGCGCTCCTTTTGGGTCTTTACATTTCTCACATTTTATTTTTTGAGGTTTTCTTCAGTTCCATCCAACCATGATTTAGTCTTCATATAGCATCACAGTCTGGTTTAGAAGCATCACTGCTTCAGACAGGAAGGCAGTGCAGAGAGTGGTAAGGATGGCTGAAAAGATCATTGGCAGTTCCCTCCCTTCCATCCAGGACATAGCACATAAGCATTGCTTGAGCAGGGTCCGCAAGATTGTCTGGGACGCTATACATCCTCTTCAAGACCTGTTTTCCTTGTTATCTTCTGGGAGGAGGCTTTGTGGTATCCGAAGCAGAACATCCAGATTCAGTCACAGCTTTGTTCCAATACAGTATTAACCTTGTGCAGTGCTTTTTTTGTAAAAAAAAAAAAAAAAAGGTGCCGGAACTCACACACGTCATACAACTCCGTTCTGGGCATTCTATGATAAAAAAAGCCCTGACCTTGTGAACTCTACAGCTTCCTCCTTCCGTTATGTCAGTGGTTCTCAACCTTTTTAATGCCGCGACCCCCAACCAGTCATAAGTCGAGGACTAAACCGGTCGTAAGTTGAGGACTACCCAACCGGTCGTAAGTCGAGGACTTTTCCTGCCCGGGAGCACCGCGCATGCATGGTTCCGCCCCCTGCGCAGGCCGAGGCATAGCTGGCAAGCGGCAGAGACGGAGCAGGCCGACCACCAGCTGGCGCAGCTCAAGGGAGGTAAGGCACCCGCTGGAAAAGGGAAAAAAATGGCGGACAGCCTTGCTTGGCGACCCCCGTGAAATGGTCGATCGACCCCAAATGGGGTCGCGACCCATAGGTTGAGAACCGCTGCGTTATGTATTCAAAATGGACAGTGATTAATATTTATATGTTACTTATATGTAAAGATATAGGTCTATACATATGTTGTACATATGTTGTACAACAATGTGTGTTATGTATATGCACACTATGAGAGGAAGCAACTAAATTTCATTTTTAATGTGTGCCATTATGCCCACAGGAAAAAATGACAATAAAGATTATCTAATCTAATCTTTCTCCCCCTTGATCCATTTTCTCTTCTCATATATTTATTTTTCAACTTAATCCTAATTCATTCTTTCCATATACTGTAACCAAAATGTTTCAAGCTGACTCTTCCATACTGGTCACTCACTTTTGAATTCAATACATATTAATTCATTCTTGATCTAATCGCTTTACTTTTGACAGCATACACTTAAGTATCTCAGTTTTATTGCATTCAATCTTCGTGTTTCTGCTCTCACTTCCATATTAGAAAGCAGCATATGCTTAAATATCGCCATTTTTTGAAAATCAAGATTTATCTGCATGTCTACAACTTTTTTTCTATTTTACTATCTTAATTTCACCTTTCTTCCTTCTGCTTTTTGCATATTCCTACTACAGTGACCTTTGGCTAAAAACAAATGAAACTTTGCTAGTAATAACAGACAGGAAGCTGAGAGAAATCAGCATGATTCTATATACTGGCATAAACAAGGATGAAAGAAACTGTGTTTGTGTAATTCAAAACATATTAGAAGATTTCCCTCAAATAAAACTTACCAGTCCCCAAAGGGCTCCTTCTGTGGTGGCAACAATAGTTGCAGCTCTAGGAGTGTTATACATCAAGGCGAGTTCCCCAAAACTGCCGTGATTATCGTAGCGACCAACACAGCGACTTTGGCTTTCTCGTGCTACAAAAATATCATATGATCCCCTAGAAAGATGGGAAAATAAAAAACCCGGGCATTAGTTCAAATGCAAAGCACTGCTAATAAAAGCTCAGTTTAATAAAAATAGACATAGTTTATTCTCTAAAGTAAAAATAAAACAAAACATTTCCATCTGGTTGGAACAGAACATGCCCTGTCAGAATGTATCCCTATTTGCCACCAAACACTGCCCACCCACAGCTCCCATCTTTTTCACTGTATTGATCACTATGGGCAAGCCTAGCTGAGAAAAAGAGTTCTTGGCTGGCAGAAATGACCACAAAATAAGCTTCTGATCTATACAGCTGAGCTGGGGTTAATTCCCTTCCACTGTTTGCAAATAGGGGCAGATGCATCAAACTGCTGAGAGGGGCGGGGAAATCTGAGAATAGTGAAATATTATTTTTCACTTATCTTCCTGTTGCTCTAAATGCCTCACAGGCTACAATCTCAGAATCCTTTGTAAAAACCGAAGGGCCTGCCCTGCCCATATTTTAATTATTTGAACTTAAGCATTATGTTTTCACAGAAAGAGCTGCAGAAAGGTATTTTAATTATCAGTGAGTCTGCGAAACTTAAATGTTTTCCTCAAATGATTAACCTCTCCAACTACTTATCTTCATTCAGAAACTTAGCACTGATAATTTGGAGAGAAAAAGGGGACCAGTCTACAGCATTATTCTGGTTTTCTCTAAGACAGAGGTTGTTGTTGTTAATAGCGAAGTCGTGTCCGACCCATCGCGACCCCATGGACAACATAACATTCCTCCAGGCCTTCCTGTCCTCTACCATCTTCTGGGGTCCATTTAAGCTCATGCCTACTGCTTCAGTGACTCCATCCAGCCACCTCATTCTCTGTTGTCCCCTTCTTCTATTGCCCTCAATCTTTCCCAGCATTAGGCTCTTCTCCAGGGAGTCCTTCCTTCTCATTAGGTGGCCAAAGTACTTGAGTTTCAACTTCAGGATCTGACCTTCTAAAGAGCAGTCAGGGTTGATCTCCTCTAGGACTGACCAGTTTGATCGCCTTGCAGTCCAAGGGACTCTCAGGAGTCTTCTCCAGCACCATAGTTCAAAGGCCTCAATTCTTTGTCGCTCAGCCTTTCTTATGGTCCAACTTTCACAGCTATACATTGCAGCTGGGAAAACCAGCGCCTTGACTATACGTACTTTTGTTGGCAGCGTGATATCTCTTTAGTATGCTGTCTAGATTTGCCATAGCTTTCCTCCCCAGGAGCAAGCGTCTTTTAATTTCTTGGCTGCAAAGGTACTATTCAAGAAACACTTGTTGGGAATTATTTTTTCCTCTGCTTTCATAAGATTCCTTGGCTTGTACATCTTTAGAGAAATATCAGATCACATTTTCTAATCTGACAGTTTTAGCTGACAGGTAGCATGAGGACAATACCGGTAGTATTCTAAAATGCACTTCCGAGAAAGGATTAATACTGATCATTATAAAAATAAGTATTTTCCAGCTGCTTTAAAAAATGGGATGAGGAAACAATTTTTGGAGGCTTTCAAGAAATAACTTGTGTTTATATATAACCTTTTTAAGATGCCTAGATAATTTCCAGAGCTGGTCTAGCATAAATGAGTAGCTGCTGGAATACACAGTCTAGTGACAGAGTTTTCCGTACAAATTTGGATATTTATCTTGTATTTTATTATGACTGAAATAGTTTCGGAGCTAAGTAAATGAATACATTTTAATGCTTATGCTGGTGGGAGATCACACAGCTAAATAAAACAGTACATATTATATCACAACTATTAGCAAACTAATTATGTAAATATGGGTCTGATAGCAATAGCACTTAGACTTATATACCACTTCACAGCCCTATATAAGCAGTTTACAGAGTCAGCATATTGCCCCCAACAACCTGGGTCCTCATTTTACAGACCTCGGAAGGATGGAAGGCTGAGTCAACCTTGAGCTGTTCAGAATCGAACTCCTGGAGTAAGCAGTGAGTTAGCCTGCAGTACTGCTTTCTAACCATTGCGCCACCATGGCTCTTTGACTCTCTAATTCAGTTTTCTTTCACAATAAAGTTCTATGTTAAAACATATACACAATCTCAACAATGGGAAACTGAATGAACCCAAGACTAGAAAAAAAACCTGATTCTTACTGAAAATGCCTTAAATGTATGCTTAAGCAGCAAGAAGCAAATTCTTATGAAATACATTCTGTAAACAATCATACTGACTTGGTGAAAGAATAAGTTCTCAATGGTTTAAAATAACATAAACAGGATTCTTATAAATTCAGCCCAGATCCTAAAATTTGTTGTTTTATCTGTGTAAGATCATCAAAGGTGCTTTTCGATTTTGGATCTTCCAGTTTATATATTTTTTTAAAAAATTGGAAGTATTATAAACCACATCACATATTTTAAAGAAAGGATATAAACTGTTGTAGCAACAAATAAAAGGAGTCATGGATCCTAATAACCTGCCCAAACTAAGGCAACTGAGTTGAGCTGAATTCTTCAGAATGTCACTTCATAAATAATTACAGTAGTCATTTTTACCATAATCCTCAGACTCACATTGTTGCCTGCCTGAGCAGGGGGTTGGACTAGATGACCTCCAAGGTCTCTTCCAACTATTATTGTTGTTGTTGTTGTTGTTATTAAACATTCATGACCATTTCAGTTTCACAGAAAGTTACAAACACACATATTTTACCATACACATCAAAGGCTTAAGAAGGTGTTCATTGTGAAAAGCAATCAGCACAATAATATTTGAGAATGAACTAGCACAGCTGTCTTTAACCCTTAAATCCAATAACCACATTTTTGTAAAATAAAAATCTTTCTGCTTGAAATATTGCTTTACAGAGATGAAATGGCTATGTGTGAAATGGACTAAAGTGTTTTTTAACCATTAACATCTATAAATAACTTCTATATATCAATATGGGCTTCTCATATATAATTTTCAATTGATTTCTGCATTATAAGATGATAATTAAAATTTTGTTCCTTTAGTAAACCTTCTTGCAATCACAGCATGCTCTCCAAAGTCTGTCCTTTTTATCTGAAACTTGGAAAGTTCAGCTTCCTCATTCCTAGTTAGTACAATTTAATTCAACATTTATGTCAGAAACATTTAAAAACTTGTCACAGAGCAACACTTTCGCTCCTTACTCTTCAATGACGTAAAAGTTGTCTCCATCATCTCCTTGGTCAATTACATGTTCCTGAGGTTGTACTTTTCTTTCAAACATGGCATCCAAAACTTGTGACAATTGTTCCTGAAAGGATAAAAGCATTTCAATTAACATTTGTTATAATGACTAAGTCATGTTCATTTATATTGCCCCAAATACTCTTGTCTATGTCATGAGCTTTTTTAACTACAGAGAAGAGTGTTTTTGAATGCAGTGTCATCTCACTTGTTCATAAAGGCAAGAAACATACAAATCAAACTAAAAATTGACTTTTTAAACTTTTCTATGTCAGAGAAAGCTCCCTTCTGCTTCTAAGATCTTCTAACCCAGTGGTTTTCAACCTTTTTAATGCCGCGACCCCAACCGGTCGTAAGTCGAGGACTAAACCAGTCGTAAGTCGAGGACTAAACCGGTCGTAAGTCGAGGACTTTCCCTGCCCGGGAGCGCCGCGCATGCATGGTTCTGCCCCCTGCGCCGGCCGAGGCGTAGCTGGCAAGCGGCAGAGACGGAGCAGGCCGACCACCAGCTGGCCCAGCCCAAGGGAGGTAAGGCGCCCGCCGGAAAAGGGGGAAAAATGGCGGACAAAAAAAATGGCGGACAGCCTTGCTTGGCGACCCCCATGAAATGGTCAATCGACCCCAAATGGGGTCCCGACCAACAGGTTGAGAACCACTGTTCTAACCCCAAAGAACAAATAGAAGTCTGCCATGTTAAAAAAAAAAAAAAGCTGTGGAATCTCAAAGCTGATCATGAGAACGGCAGCTATAATGCTACCTGTGCAACTACTATTCTCATGGTCAGCTTTGAGAGTCTTTGCTTTGCTCTTTTGAAATATTTTGAAAAGTGTTTCAGGAAAGTGCTAGGCAACTGATAAACAGAGGTATGGTCTCCAAAAGATCAATATCTTTTGGAGATATTATATTTATATCATATTTAGCCATCTATCGTGATTTTCACACTTCATAAGAGATATGCTTATGGAACTGAATTCTAGTTGATCAAAATGAGTAAGAAGCACCATTCTATACACCAAAGTAAGTGCCAGCCTGAGAACGTGCCGTTACATCATGAAAAGGCAGGAAGGAGGGAGAAGGAAAAGGAAAGGTTCATGACAAATTATCCAAATTCCACAAGAGAAAAGATGGGGAATATTTCCCTCAGGTCTTCCCCAAATCTATTTTAACAATCCAGAGAGACTGAGATATTACAAGATAGTCTCTTCAAAGAAACAGAAAACTGACAGCAGAAAAAGACCTAATGATACATCGATTCTGCCCATTGAGGGCAGAACTTCCTAATCTTCTGCAAAACTTCCTAATCAAATATCACAACAATAAAACCTAAGCAGATTATATCTTGGTGCATCAAAATCTGGATCAAAGTCAGACTTGTTACTTCTCAGGAATGCATGTGGCAGCAAGCTTGGAAGGAACCAATAGGATGTATGATTGTTTTTACTTCAACTAAGATTTCAAGATCTCAGTCTATAAATCTTTAAATTTGCACATCAGCAGCATTTAGTTCTCTAACAAAATTTTTTATTACGGTCAGCAACCAATGCAAAGAAAAAAGAGATAATTACAATAAAATATCCATGTACATATAGATAAACAAACAGTTAAATTTCAGATAACATCAAAATTACAGACATATCCATAAAACCTGTGGAGCTAATCTAGTTAACTCACCCTGTAAAATCTGATCTATAAAACCTATCTACTTTATTTGCTACTTTATAATCCTTGGTTAGTACATATAAAAATCAGTTAAGAGAAAATTGGAGGAAGGAAATAACTTTATGGCATACATTACAGAAATAGAAAAAACATAAAATTTTGCCTTGCTATAGCCTGCTGATATATTTTATCTGTAAGGCATTTATACTTTTCTATGGCTTCAGCGTAAAATCTCACCACTTGTGCCAAAGCATTAGGGGCTATGTCCTTTAGCATTAGATGACGGTAACATTCTATGGATCTCCTTTGCAACCTTTTAATAAGTGGAATCCTTCAGTGAGTGGCTTGCTTATAGAAGAGGCAGCTTAGAAGAATATGAATGTATTTAATTCTCTATAAGGCTTTTAAGTGACATAAAAAAATGATGATAGTCTAAAGGATAATGAATTAATATTTTCTGGCAGCAGATATTATCAATCTAAATGTAGACTTTAAAATAGGCTGATTGATGTTTTTTTAACTACTTTCTTTGGCAGATACTCCCTTTGAAGATTTTGAAAGTACTTTAATAGAATCAAAGTGCCAAGAGAAAGCTTCTTATCCTATTCCTTAAAATAAGAGAAAAATTTCAACCTCTATATTAAGGATTATAGGAATGTCAATGTCCTACTGTTATCTTGCAACAAAATGATTCCCTTACTAAGAGGGAAGAGGTTTTTTTCAATTAACTGAAGTTGTCAGGTGATTTAAAAAAAAAACCCACCAAAATAAATTACTGTTTTAATCTCTGAGGTTTGGGGTGTATAAATGTCCATTGAATGTACTTAAGGTAAAACATTGCTTCAAGAAAGCCAATTTTCACTTAAAAATTACTGCTTGCGTAACTGAAAAGTTTATTGTTTAGATATATCCATAAGATAAATGAACAGATATTTATTCCATCATTGTTAAAATAAAAATATACCTATATAATGTCTTCAGGGGATACTGAAGGAATCATCATAATGTAAGTTCAGGAGAAAAATATCTCAGTGTAAGTAAGCACTGAATATTTGTCAACAAAAAGCACATATTATTTTACTTTATTTTTTAAATTTTATTCCAAAGAGTCATTATCTATAATTTGCATATCAAATATGTAATACCTATCACTGTTTACAAGCTAAATTTTGTATTTGTTAATAATTTTATCCACTGTGTTCTATGACTGTTGCTACCCAGAGTTGTTGAATACGTGATGGATATATAAGATGGGTGGTAAATAAATTTGACAGGTAGGTAGGTAGGTAGGTAGGTAGGTAGGTAGGTAGGTAGATAGATAGATAGATAGATAGATAGATAGATAGATAGATAGATAGATGATAGATAGATAGATAGATAGATAGATAGATAAACAGACAGGGATGGATGGATGGATGGAGGGAGGGAGGGAGGGAGGGATGGAAGGATGGATGGATAAATTATATTGGGTGCAACTGTAAAAATCAAGCTAGGTCTTATTTTCAGGATAGGTCTTATTTTTGGAGTAACACAGTAATAAAAATATTCCAAATGGCTAGCTTTATTAAAATATTTTTATTTAGTGGTAATTACCTGGAAACATTACCCTACTAGCAATAAAGATTTTTCAAAAAAATCCAAGTAGTTTTTGTTTCTTGGACTTGCTTGCCACATCTTTTCTCTGCTACCCAATTTACCTAATACATTATTTCTTCTTATAAATGGTATTTAAATCAATTTTTACATATTAAATTGGTACACTTTTTATTTTTGGCCTACCCAAGATTACATTTTTCATTCATACTGATCTTTACATTCATTGTCCTGAATGTTACCAGATTTTACCATTATTACCTTTTCAATTACTAAAACCTAAAATGCTGCAGAACATGCTAAAAACAGAAGGAATTAAGTAAGAACTGTCTAAGAACCATGAAATAAATTTGCCAGCATCTTCTAAGAGAAGCAAGTGGAGGTTGGAAAGGTTAAGGATTATAGTAATTCAGAGGGAAATCAGCTCTTCCTTATTCAAATCCCATCGATGGAGCTTTATCATAGTAGATTTACCAGTGCATGCAGGCCTTCTGAATCTTTGCTAAAAGAATGCAAATTGTAACTAGGCAACCTGTAGCAAATCATTGTTAAGAAACCTCAAGAACTAAAGGGGTAATAGTTTTAGAAAATTTATATTCATATTTGCTAATTACTGTCAAGTAGTAGAATATGGCAACAGAAGAGAATAAAAATGTTCAGATCATTTTATAGCAAAGCCAAATACATAATCTTCATTAGCAATATCCCTGGCAGATGGCACTTCAGGTTTTTTAAAAAGAACATTTTTGGTAAAGTGATGGGCAACATATTCTTGACTGGATGCTTATTTCAATATTTCTGAATTTCTATTCTATTTATTTTCCTTATATTACCCATGCCTTTAAAAATGACTGGATTGAAGGGAATTTAGTATAAGGTAATAAAGCTATTTATTCTTAAGCTTAGTAATACTTTATTTAATTTGTGAAAGGAAAAGGTGGCAACAGCTGCAAGCAATGCTCAATATTACAATATGGATAGGTTTAAAAAAACACTTCAGCTAAAAATTTCCTACTCTCTATGATATTGAAAGTCTAAATAATTGCTAAGCCTATGAAATAGCTGCATGTCCTAGACCTAGAGTCTCCCTAGGAAGCAAGATAATCATAATAATTAATAAATAAATTCTTAAAATGAAATGATCTGAGCATCCTAATTATATAATTATAGAAACTAAGAATAAACTAATTAATAATTCTGGCTTGCTGAAGAGGAACAAGCCAGATTCCTGGATCTAGGCAACAGTGAACAAGAAAGATTAGTCAAAACAGTAACTCCTTTCTAAATAAGCTAAAATTCTTTAAAAATCTGGTATTGGATACATCTGACTAATGTATTAAAGTTAAACATTAAATTCTCTTCCTTTTGGTACTGATTGTTACAAATTAAATATTCTAAAATAGGAATATTTTGAAATAACTAAGTAACTCAATTTCATCCACATGCTATAGCCACACATATAATAAATCAACATGCATCTGTACTTATATATTTTAAGCTTTGAATCTTCAAGGTGAAAGGCCAAAATAAAACAGTATATATATAGGTCAAGCCAATTACCTGATCTAGGTTTTTGAAGATGAGAATATCTTTACAGGCTTCCTGCAATCTGCATCTCTGCTCATCTGTTTTTGGATGAACTACCTAAAAAAAGAAAACCCCCAAAGTGGTTTAAACATCTAAACATCAATACATTTTAGGTTAAACATGCTTGGGGTTATAATTCTGAAAATAGTTAGGGAGAACATTTTGAAAATGTTTCAACTGTAACAGGGAACAGTTTTCACATTTCTTCAGTAAAAAAGGCCGGAGAAGTAAGAAAGGGAAGATCTGGCTCCAATATTTTACTAATTAATAATATCCAGTTGGAAAGCCTTCAGGAACAATTTTGAGAATCCTTTTACGTTCACTCAAAAGTCATAACAAAGAACAAGTGCTGCTACTTCATTCATCACTTTAGTTTGTAACTTCACACAAGGAACAGGATAAAATAAATTGCTCTTTGCATATAACACACAATATAGTGTGTTCAATCTTGCTTACCCTTGGCTCTGTATCTTCGTCCTCTTCATCTGGGTTGAAGGCTTCCGCACAGACTTGAAAAAGAAATATTTGTTATTCTTTAACAGGGTTGACATACATAGAGAGGCAAGAACTCTGCACGGATATATTAATTAGTGCCATCTTTAAGTTCCCAAATAATATAAACAGTGTAAAAGATTTAATACTTTAACTCTGATGGTTCAGACACTTTAACCATTTATTTGAGAAGAAAAATAGTTCAGTATCATCTATAATGAAGTGAAACATTTGTGCTCAAAATTTCAGGAGCTTAACATAAATTTAAAAAGGCAAAGAAGTTCTATACCAAGATTACGCTGAAAGATTATCTGAACAGAATACAAGTTAATAATTATTTGCTACAATGTAATCTAATCTAGGAACTTCCCAAAGAAAAACAGAGGAATATTTTACATACATCAATAAATAACATCTTGGACTTTGGACAAATGTATAAAATTGACATTGATGTACAGTTCACAATAACCAAATGCAAAAAAAGGGGAAATACGTGGATCAGAAAATATTAAAACTATTCAATTTGCTTCTTCAATAGGTAACACAGAAGACTGTAAGCTTGATCAGCAAACTCATCTGGAATTTTGAAAGCATGTTATGAACAGCTTCATAAAATGGTTGCCATGGTGAATGTCATTAATTACTGTTGGCTTTAAAGTGTTTTAGCTAGCTTTTAATAATGGTATGTATGATGCTGACTTGACTCAAATTCTGGTGAATACATGGACACAAGCATAACGTCAACAACAACAACGTTAGAAGGGACCTTGGAGGTCTTCTAGTCCAACCCCCTGCTCAGGCAGGAAACCCTATACCAGACATGTCAAACTCGCAACATCACGTGACGTCGTGCGACGTATCGGAACTTTTTCCCCATTGCCGGCAATGGGATGGCCGCAGTTTCCTCGTGATGCGTCCAGCCCACGGGCCGGCAGTTTGACACCCCTGCCCAATACAATTCCAGTCTCTTTTTAAAAACTTCCATTTTTGGAGCATTCACCACTTCTGGAGGCAGGTTGTTCTACTGATTACCGTATATACTCGAGTATAAGTCGACCCGAATATAAGCCGAGGGACCTATTTTTCCTCAAAGAACTGGGAAAAAATGGTGACTCGCGTATAAGCCGAGGGGGCATTTTTCAGCACACACATTTTTCCGACCGGGCGGGCGGGCGAGAGGCGGGCAGAAAAAAAAGGGGGGGGGAAATCCACACACACTCGCACAGGGAAAGGGGGAAAGGGGTGGGCCGGCCGGCTCCCCCCTCTTCTTTGTGTGTGTGTGTGTGTTTGTGTCTCTCTCTCTCTCTCTCTCTCAATTCTCCCCCACCCCAAAAGCGGGGAGGGGGCGACCTTGCAAAAGGGAGGGGGCTTCTCCCGGTTGCGGAGAAGGCTGGAGGTGCACCTTTCTCGGCCAGCCCGGGTAAATTCGGCTGTATTCTTCAATACGGGCCGGCCCCAGCAGTTCCAGCTGGTTGCCGGCAGTTGGCTGTTCCTCCCTGGCCGCCTCAGCCTCCCTAGCCCTGTCGGTGAGCACCCAGCAGGGCACAGCGTCACCAGGCCTCCCCCCTTCGCGCGAGGCGTCTGGCGTTCCCCCTCGCGCTTGGCTGCGGTGGCCCGGGGTATTCCGTCCCGGCCTTGACACGCAGCGCCACAGGGAACGGAAGGGAAGGGGGGAGGGCCGTACCTGGGGAACGAGCTGGGCGGCGGCAGGAACGAGCCGGGCGGCGGCGGCAGGAACACGCTGGGCGGCGGCGGCAGCAATGAGCTCGGCGGTGGTGGCGGTGGGAACGAGCCGGGCGGCGGCGNTTACAGGCTTCCTGCAATCTGCATCTCTGCTCATCTGTTTTTGGATGAACTACCTAAAAAAAGAAAACCCCCAAAGTGGTTTAAACATCTAAACATCAATACATTTTAGGTTAAACATGCTTGGGGTTATAATTCTGAAAATAGTTAGGGAGAACATTTTGAAAATGTTTCAACTGTAACAGGGAACAGTTTTCACATTCCTTCAGTAAAAAAGGCCGGAGAAGTAAGAAAGGGAAGATCTGGCTCCAATATTTTACTAATTAATAATATCCAGTTGGAAAGCCTTCAGGAACAATTTTGAGAATCCTTTTATGTTCACTCAAAAGTCATAACAAAGAACAAGTGCTGCTACTTCATTCATCACTTTAGTTTGTAACTTCACACAAGGAACAGGATAAAATAAATTGCTCTTTGCATATAACACACAATATAGTGTGTTCAATCTTGCTTACCCTTGGCTCTGTATCTTCGTCCTCTTCATCTGGGTTGAAGGCTTCCGCACAGACTTGAAAAAGAAATATCTGTTATTCTTTAACAGGGTTGACATACATAGAGAGGCAAGAACTCTGCACGGATATATTAATTAGTGCCAACTTTAAGTTCCCAAATAATATAAACAGTGTAAAAGATTTAATACTTTAACTCTGATGGTTCAGACACTTTAACCATTTATTTGAGAAGAAAAATAGTTCAGTATCATCTATAATGAAGTGAAACATTTGTGCTCAAAATTTCAGGAGCTTAACATAAATTTAAAAAGGCAAAGAAGTTCTATACCAAGATTACGCTGAAAGATTATCTGAACAGAATACAAGTTAATAATTATTTGCTACAATGTAATCTAATCTAGGAACTTCCCAAAGAAAAACAGAGGAATATTTTACATACATCAATAAATAACATCTTGGACTTTGGACAAATGTATAAAATTGACATTGATGTACAGTTCACAATAACCAAATGCAAAAAAAGGGGAAATACATGGATCAGAAAATATTAAAACTATTCAATTTGCTTCTTCAATAGGTAACACAGAAGACTGTAAGCTTGATCAGCAAACTCATCTGGAATTTTGAAAGCATGTTATGAACAGCTTCATAAAATGGTTGCCATGGTGAATGTCATTAATTACTGTTGGCTTTAAAGTATTTTTACTAGCTTTTAATAATGGTATGTATGATGCTGACTTAACTCAAATTCTGGTGAATACATGGACACAAGCATAACGTCAACAACAACAACAATGTTGGAAGGGACCTTGGAGGTCTTCTAGTCCAACCCCTGCTCAGGCAGGAAACCCTATACCAGATATGTCAAACTCGCAACATCACGTGACGTCGTGCGACGTATCGGAACTTTTTCCCCATTGCCGGCAATGGGATGGCCGCAGTTTCCTCGTGATGCGTCCAGCCCACGGGCCGGCAGTTTGACACCCCTGCCCAATACAATTCCAGTCTCTTTTTAAAAACTTCCATTTTTGGAGCATTCACCACTTCTGGAGGCAGGTTGTTCTACTGATTAATTGTTCTAACTGTCAGGAAATTTCTCCTTAGTTCTAGGTTGCTTCTCTCTTTGGTTAGTTTCCATCCGTTGCTTCTTGTCCTGTATATATAGTTTTCCTAGTGATAATACAGAAAGGTTTGTATCCAGGATGTATTTTTATTAGTTTCCCAGATCTCCTGGTTCAAGTCTCTTGCTTTTTCAAGATCAGCCAGAATCTTAATACTGTTAACTGTTACTATATTTTCCTGTAAGCATTTTTTATTTTTTAAAAAACTTTTTAATGTAATTTTCCAGGCAAAATAGAAAAACCCAGAATGTGAAATAATTGTTTCTTTTCCATCAGTACACGTGTTTGTCAAAACTGGGTTTGAGTTCGAATTTTCAGAAAAAGAAGAATCCCCTCCCAGTGTATATTTGTCACATACAACCTAGGTGTAATGATGAAGCCTACACAGCACTAGGAAAGCCTAATCCAATTTTACCTTCCATTTCCTTCTGTAGATAATAGAATCCAGATATATATGTTCAACCAGAATTAAACCCTATTGAATTCAACAAAATTCTCTTGTATATTTCAGCCTAATGGAACTTCAGAGTAACACAGTCTAATGTCTAGATTTCAGCTTCCCCCAGTCTGATTTTTAAAAAAAAAAAAAAAAAGCAGAGAGAAAATCTTAAAACCACCTTGTGTACTTTAAAAAAAATGTAATTATAACTTTGTAAAGCAAACTAAAGACAAAATATAATTAGGAAACCATGTTAAAATATTAAGATAATCAATTCATACATTGTAGCTGATTATAAGTAGGTTCTAGATAAAAATATTTATTGATATGGAATGCATCACCATTACACAAAAGTGGAGAACCACACATCGTATGAGAGCAAAATCCAGCTTTTGATCTATTCTAGTAGGGCAGGTACTGTTGGGGTTTAGCCAAAGGATTACAGCAAGGCCCTCTCTTACAGAAACGATCCACTTCTCTTTGAGCGGACAGGTACACTCTGTTCTTCATACTGTCTATCATGGAGAAAATACTTTAGGGCAGACATGTCAAACACAAGGCCCGGGGGGCAGATGCGACCCGCGAAGTAGTTTCATGTGGCCCGCGAAGCCATCCTGGAAACAGTAGGGGAACGGCCCCCGCTGCCTTGGCCCTGGCCCAGGCTGGCCAGGAGCCAATGTACAATTCTGTGGTGGCCATCTATGCTGAAACACATTCAGTCTTAGCTCCACAAGGCCGTCTGGAAACAGCGAGGAACCAGCCCCTGCCACATCGGCCCTGCCCCCTGGGTGCATGCTGGGGAGGTGACACCTCCCCAGTTGCGTTTCTTGCCTGTTTTTCTCCCCTCATCTCAAATATTTTTCCACCACTCTGTACTTAGGAAAGAAGGAAGGAAAGAAGGAAAGGAGGAGAGGGAGGGTCTGAGGGAAGTCCTATCTTAGTCTTGCCCTGCTGCCCTTTCACCATCCCCTTGCCCCCTCCTCCTGGCCTATCCTGGGGGTCTCCCATCCTATTGCTAAGAAAGCTTTGGATACAAAGCCGGGTCTCCTCCCATGGAGAGGGAATGGGCCTCCCTGACTTTGCCCTTGTACCCATCACAAGCAACCTGGCTAAAGAGAGCAAGCACAGCAGCAGCAGCCTTGAGGAGGAGGTAAGTGCAGCTGGGCGCCCCCTTGGGGAAGTGGGGCTGGGCTTGGTGCTGTGGGTGCTCGAGGGCCAGGCTGGGCGTTTGACCTCTGCTGCTCTGGGCAGCCCGCATCACCATCCAGCCCCCCCACATGGCCTGAAAGGGACAGTGAAGCTCCTCCACTGGACCATGCCTTGGCACTTGCCCTGGTCCCACCCTCTTCTGCCAGAGACCCTCAGATCTGTCCCATTCCTGCCCAGGCCCCCACAGGCACCCTTGACGCGAACGATGTAGATCTGGCCATGCCCACCCAGTAGGCCACACCCCTCCCTCCACACCCACCCAGTAGGCTGCATCCACTCTGGCCACACCCACCCACACCCCTGAGGGCAACCGCAATGCTAATGCGGCCCTCAATGAAATTGAGTTTGACACCCCTGCTTCAGGGCAAACCAGGAGTCAACAATTCCTGCTTCATCCTATATTTGTAGTTATAATTTTGTTATACAAAATTCATTGTAGACTTTTCCCTATGGAGAGAAGATATTCTGGAGATAAATAAGCAAAATACACCCCAAAAATCCTTGATTGGGGAAAGTGTAACATGCCTCTAAAATGATCTGTTTGCTTAACAAGATAGCAAAAGAGCAGCTAGCAATAAAAAAAATAACCCCTTTGAGCCTGAATGGATCATCCTAATGGGTCAAACTAGTCCCACAAGTTAGTTCCATTTCTACCATGTAACAAGTTGGTAATAATTCACTTAAATTTTGTTTTTGAAAATATGTAACATTATTAACCACCACTTCAATTAAACAAAATATTTGGGAAAGTTTCCCATGAGGTTTGGGTAGAAAATATGGTAAAATGTAGGCTGAACTATGATATCAATTAAAGCAGTGGTCCCTAAGCTTTGCAGCTTGGCGGCCAGGCTGGAAGGGGGGAGAGGGGAACCGGACCGTGCAAGCAGCGGGCCAGCGCACATGCGCATGCCGTGCAGCTCAACTGCACATGCACGTGCACACTGGCCTGCCTTTCACGCTATCCTGTTTGAATAGGCCACGGTCCAGTAGTGGACTGCGGCCCAGGGGTTAGGGACCCTGAATTATAACTATATGAATGTTTGACAATGTGTCCATGTCAAGACTGTCAAAAGCAAAAAGCGGTATTACATGGTTTGGGTGGATGCAATTCTGGGCCCTGCATTTTACAAAGGACACCGAGTACAGCATAACCAAAGGAGATCAATTAAGATGATGAGCTTAGGAAAAATGGATGAGAAATAATTGGTGTCATCAAGTACTTTTAGCCTTGGAGAAGAGAAGACTGCAGGGAGACATGATAGCTGTCTTCAAGAAACTGAAGGGCTACTGTGTGTAGAACAAGAGTTTTAAAAAAAAAATCAGGTGGCAGAACCTCTTGGTTTAAAACAAAAAACAAACCTTGGAATCCCTGATCTGTAAAATAATAGGTGTGGTGTTTTTGCAAAGAAAATAAGCCTTGCCCTTTCTGTTGTTCCATCAACACTCACAAGACACATTTTGGAAAAAAAATGGGTATAAAATAAGGCAGAATTGTTCAGAGTTGTTTCAAGGAGGAAAAAAAGAGATGAGTTTAAATTACAATGACACAAATTTTGACTGAATATCAGGAACAATACCTAATACAGCTGTTCTGCAATGAAATAGACTGCTCAGAAGGTTGGCAGAATCCTTCACTGCAGATATTTAAAAAGAAACTGTCTGGGCCAGTGATGGCGAACCTTTTAGAGACTGAGTGCCCAAACTGCAACCCAAAACCCACTTATGTATTGTCGAGTGCCGGCTGGGTGTGGCCCATTGGCTGGGCGTGGCTGTGGTGGTAACGGCAGACTGGGTGGGACTAAAAAGTTCAATCAATCAATTCCAACTTTGCGAGATCTTTTTTTTTTCCGTGAGAAGTTGAAATTGACTGATTGAACTTTTTTTTTTTTTTGCACACGGCAGCGGAGGCCTAAAGCGAAAAGGTTTTATAAAACCCAGATGAAGGCGCGTGTGCCCACAGAGAGGGCTCTGAGTGCCGCCTCTGGCACCCGTGCCATAGGTTCGCCACCACTGGTCTGGGCCATCTATCAGAAAGTTGCAGTGATTTGGGTTAGAGTCAGATCCTTTCCAAGGCTTACATTCAATGGTTTTGCAAAAAGAAGCCTTTTTCGACCCAGAAAAAAAGAGAAATGAAGCAAATCATATGCTATGAACAGACACACTCAACACAATATATGAATAAAATTAGCACAATATTTGAAGATAATTATCTGTCCTAGACAAAATACTCCTGATATACAGTACCCTTTTTCTGAACAAGAAAGAATGTGGTTCTCTTTTGGACTTC